ACCCTGAAAACGTTGAGACACTGAAGCCAGAGGATTGTGGCTATGTGAACGACCAAGAACAGCTGGTACCCGCAACATCGTGGAAACCCCTCGAGCCTCATTGGTCAGTCTCCTGTTTATGTGCTAAGTGTTCAAGGTTAACTTGCCCATGTAGAAAGGCTGGGGTGAAATGTGGTAAAATTTGTAAGTGCAGGAAAACATTACCACATGATTGTAAAAACCCAATTGTTTGATAGGATTAGGTTGGGTTCTGCTATGTTGTCTAGCATGCTCGGTTCAGTTGTTCTTGTCTCAAGTTCGGTTAAGGTAGATACATTGTATATATTTATAACTGAGTATGGTAACAAGGAATATTTTAGACTAGGACATACCTAGGCATTATTTTTCACTAAAGCGTCCACCTGTACAGTTTATGATGCATGTATATCCTTCAATCATCTTTCTATGGGACAATTCATGTCTTAATTATCGCTTTTGGCAGACATCTTATACTTCTTCTAATTAGGTGAACTCCAAAATGTATAATAATGGTGTCAATCAATTCCTTGGTGTCAAAAAACCTATATGTTGCCACAAAATCAACCTCCTATGTCACTTACTTACGGAGTTATCATCATTTGACGACATTCGCAAAATGCGCTATTTGGGGGTAGGGTTGACCCTGAGTTACAATAGCCCCCCCCCCGTGTGCATCATATAGAGCGGGAAAGCATCATTTTGAAGGTTGGATCACTTAGAGCACTTAATAAGGAAACTTGTAGCCAATTTTGGTAGCTCTAGCTACAATATTGGGTGAGTGAGAAGCAATCATACTTAGAGCTACTTTCAAAGTGAACGCGATTTTTGGCTATTTTTTGGCTAAAATTGAGCAAAATGTAGCCATTTCGTACCATGAAACAGAGTTTGAACATGTAACATTCATTCAATGTAATTCAGTGCAACTTGAAAGTTTATGGTTGCTTAATAAATATTTATGCTCTGAAACTTCAATATTGTAATTTTTTCACTTTGGCGCCTAACCGAAAATCACATAATTAGCTGTACAGAAAAAACGTACTTGACCCAGAAGTGTTACCCAAACTTTTTTTGAGAGTCTTACCATACGGAATGAGAAAATATAAGGTTTTGCTCTAAAAGAGTCATGTACACGAACACCACCCAGAGCCTAGACTAATATATAATATTTATACATTTGGCGAGGCCACATGGCGGCCCGCGTAACCTTCTAGCTAGTAGAATGACGGAGCTGTGTCCCACGACTTATATATCCAGTAAACATCGGAATCATATTTGACAACCGTACAAATAGCGGCCGAACACAGTGATGTTGTCACACGTCTGAAAAAATGGTCGTCGTCGATTAAAACAAGGTCGTTTCTAGTCACTCAGCTAATCTGATGTGAATTTACTCTAAACACAGTGCTGCCTTTTTCCGCCCGATTCCGTCCCGCACCCTTCTCTCGCATACACTCTACGGAGCGCTAGGCGACGGATTACATGACAACCACGCTGAAAAACAAAGATGGTAATAAACTAACGAATGGTGAACGACGTCATGATATGCTGGGTAAATCAGTCAGGGTCACCAAGTTTAACACTGCGTGAAGAGAGCACGAAGAGTGTTTTAGGCGCGCGGTCAATGCGACAGAGCGCCGGTATATATGTAGGGTGAGTCGAAGGAGAGGAGTCACATCGTGTTCAACAGGCTCCTTCGGTACACACACACACACACACATCCAACGCAGAACCAGCCAGGTAAGCCGATATGCCGTCGTTGTTGTCAGATACAGGTAACTGTGTTCAAGTTGGCTAATGTTAGATATAGAGCTGTATGATAAACTTGTATGGGCCCGTCTGGTCTCTCTACAGCTAAGTGTGTGTAGATGTTGTCATAACTAGTCTATGTGCTCTTGGTCTCATGCATAAAGTCTACAATTTATATCTGTGGTACATGTTAGAGTGTGCTATACCTCTAGTGGTAGATGGAGAGTAGCAAAACGACATAGCAGTATATATGCGCGTTTGTTTACGCTATACGTACAGCTTTGTTACACGCGCCATATTACATACTATACATTATTATATGTTTGTTTCTAGTTGATATATATTGTAGTATAATTGCGTTTAGTTATTTGCATGTAAATAAATACATGCATTAAATACATGCTTGTCAGCTTACTATCATACTAAATGAAATTACGTTTTCCGCCGAATTCCATGTTAGTTAAAAACATAACCTCCTGCCAACCCCTTGGCGGAGGTAATAACCGTATTCCGAAGAACAGCAATACGATTCAGTATGTAATGAGGAATTATCGACGATATTGACAATGCCCGACACATTGCATTTAGGGTTGTCCACGGCGTCGCAACGTTGGCTTACGCGGTTTTGTTTCTTTGTGTAGAAAATCTTGTGAAAATCTAAAGAGAAAAATGAATAAGACAATAGCCGTTTTTCTCGTCATCGTCGTGCTAGCCGTGAGTATAATCTAACGCATAAATCTTCCCCTCTCTGTTCTCTTTCCCTCTCTCGCTTTTTCTTTCGCCTTTCGCTATCTCGTCTTCCTCTTTTTTTCGCTCTCTCGCTCTCGCCGATAATGTTTCTTTTTCACTCTCGTCGTTTTTTTCTCTTGCCCGCTATTTTCCTCTCGTTTGATCCTCTCTCGATTCCTCTCTCTGTCTCTCTCGCTATCTCTCACTCTCGCTCTCTGCATATATATATATATATGTAGCCTGTCAGATCAAAATATGCCGTAGGACTTCAATGTTCATTCTGAGTTATAGGTGATTTTTCACCTAAAAGTAGTAAAAAGCCGATTTTGGTTTTGTCATAAATACCTTTAGTAGTTATCCATGTTCGATGTTACATCAATAAAACTGGCCAAAAGTGTGTCTTTATGTGTTTATTAATGTTATCTTATGTGTTTATTAATTAATGTTTTAATTACCCTAATTAATTACCTGAATTATTTACCTTAACTGTAAGCTACCATTTTCGTACTTCATACAGTGGATGGTTATTATGTTTGGTAAGTGCATGCAAAAATTCATGTGTCTAGCTCAATGGGAAGATATTTTTTCAGATTTGTGTCCAAATGAAGGCCAAATGAAAACAAACTTTAATTTTATGACCTAATTACTCTGAACTTTGTTTTCCAAAATCGGCCTGATTTCAACTACTCAAATGCTCATAACTTCCGAACCATGTGACCTAGGAAGAAGATCTTGGTGTCAAAATAACCAGAATTGAATGGTCTTTCTACTAAAACTACTAACTCATAATGTCCGAATTGAGTCCTACGGCATGTTTTGATCTGACAGGCTACATATATATCATGTATATAATGTTAGTATATACAGTATATATATATATATATGTATACATATATATATACATATATATATACATACATACATACATACATACGCACGCACGCACGCACGCACGCACGCACGCACGCACGCACGCACGCACGCACGCACGCACGCACGCACGCACGCACGCACGCACGCACGACGCACGCACGCACGCAGCACGCACGCGCACGCAACGCACGCACGACACGACACGCTACGACTACGACTACGCTACACGTACACTACGACA